CAACAGCAAAGAAAAAATCAGCAAGGAAAATATATTTAATTTGCCTTTTTCAAATAAACACAGATACAAGTAGATTGGTTTGATATTAAGACTTTCACAACCCAGGTAACTGGTTGTTTGACAAACATTTTGGTGGCGTATATATTCCATCAGTTTCACTGCTTGTTGGGGAAGCAAACTACTATGGAAAGTTATTCTGTTCATAAGATTGTTAAAAAAGAAATGTTTATGGATACAACAACAACGACAACAATCTGATGTCTAGCTTCAAACAAGCAAGAAAGCAAGCAAGGAATCCATCCACAGGTTGATGGAGGCTACAAGCTACTTCTGTTCAGACTCTTTTCAGAGACAAAGGCTCATGGAAACATTTGGGATGGAGGCTAGAGAAATGCTAAACATGTTAGATGCCATCAGATCCATTCCAGGTATGCCACAGATGCAGATGCCTATTTTTCTTTACCATTGAACTCCCTCTCTGCACATGGCAGGCTTGACTGCTTGCTGATACTCTTTCTGTGCTTACAGACATTTCTACTCCTTGACACATCTGGTAGACTACTGGGCAGTTGCAAAGGGAAGGTTGGATCCCAGTGCAGTTCACCTCATACCCATGAGAAGGCTGCAGCTTCCACTTTCAAACTGCAAAGCCTACATCCAGTTCTGTTGCAACCACATCCCCACATGCTTGTGAACATAGTGGCCCTGTCCATTCATCAGTGTGGTCTCTTTCAAAAACTGGATGGCCCAAACAGCTCTTCATGAATACCTAGAGGTCCTTTCAATGTCTTCTGAGGGTTCCCAGAGCATGGTAGGGACTTCGTGGGATACAATGATGAACATACAGCATAGAATGTGAGACTTCCTAGGAGATTAGGACACCCAGCAGTGGCAACAAGCTTTTGTTTGTTTGTTTGTATGTATGTATGTTTGTTTGTTTGAAGCCCATTATAAAATGTCCCCCTTCACCCCTTGAAAATAGTGTCCAGATCATTACTGTAGACTTCAGGAAAGTTAAATCCAAGAGAGCCACAGATATCATGTAGTAGTATGTCTGCATGGCTGAGGGCCATTTCCAAAGTTCACCAGACTCTAGCAAAGGCCATAGAGACACTATCAGGTCCTTTGTCTAGTGACTCCCAACTTGGACAGTACTGAGGAGAAAGGAGAGCAAGCTTCGAAGACCCTGCATGAGCAGGGCTGTGCTTCTGTAGTTTGTGTTGAGGTGGTAAGGTCTGAATGTGCAGCCGCAGGTGGACAGGTCGGCACTACATTGACTGCTGTAGGTTTCTAGAAAAAGTTTCCAAGATGAAATAGGGCTCACAAAATTAGGCATGCATTAATATTCCATACAGATCAGGGTTAGAAAACTGGTGTTCTGGATATTTCTGACCACTGGAATTTTTGTTACATATTCCTTTTCTCCATCTTTGTTTTCTTTGTTGTTACTAGGGTTAAACCTAGGTCTTCACAATTGCTAGCCAAGTGCTCTACTGCTGAGCTACATTACCGGCCCTTCTTTGTAAGGGCATTTTTGCTTTTGTTTTCCCTTTTGGTCCTTGTTCCTCTTCATCATCTTTTTCCTTCTGGCCCCCCTCTCCCCTGAGCCTTTGAATACACATCAGTGTGTTTTTACCGTTCGCCTATGTCCAGGCCACTGATCTATGTGTATACAACTGTCCATGCCACTAATCTATGTGCACACACCTGTCCACACCACTAATCTATGTATCCACACCTGTCCACACCACTGATTTATGTGTGCACACCTGTCCATGCCACTGATCTATGTGTACACACCTGTCCACACCACTGATACATGTACACATATTGGGAAAACAGAGGCTAGCAACTACTCCGTCCTTTCGTCCTCTTAGGCAGAAAGAATGTCCACCAACACTGTCCTTCCAGCACTCTTCTCCATGCACCAGCCCTCTTAGCTTCACTGTCTGCATTGCTTCCTGTTTTTTCATCTCCCATCTCCCGGTAGCTTCCAGGCCCACTCCAATTTACTTTTTTAGCCCATCATTCCTCTTCTGCTCTTCAGGACAGTGGAGACAACAGTGTTTGCAAAATTGAGCACTCCCTTCTCTGCAAGTGTCTCCTCCCAGTGTAAAGTCCTTACTCCCAGTTGACAACCTCACACCTACATGGTTTTCTACCTACTTTTTGGGCTCTCTGCCATGCTTTTTATCACTGACTTTCTTTCTACCACCCATTCTTCAAAGGTTGGAGTCCTCCAGGCCAACCCCAGGCTGTTTGTCTCTTCAATTCATCCCCGTGGTTAAAGGGCCATTTCTAAGCTGCTGATTGCTAATGTCTCCTCTAATCCCAGGCATGAGCTCCAAACTCATTGAACTCTGCTACATCGTCACAATGCAGCATATCACTGGTAACATGACCAAGGTCCATTTCATCTTCACTCCTTGCACAGAGCATCAGTGTCCCTGCCACCTCCCTCCCTTGAGTCCCTCTTCCCTCTGCCTCTTACATAACATCGCCTTCCATGTTATATTTCATTCATCCACTAACTTCTCTCCATCAACAATAATATTGTCATGGACATCCACAGTGGTGTCGCACAATGTTGACACCTAACTCATCCATCATATTATGCCAAAAGTGTTTTTCTGAAGAAAGAAACTGGTTGTTTTCCTCCTGTGCTTTAGCCCCTTGTGTTTTTTCCTTTCTGGATGTCCTAGCTCCCAGCCACTATGCTCTTTACGGCATTTTTTTGCTACCCCTGTGGAGACAGAGCCACACTGGTCCCTTTCAGAACCTCAATGGTACTGTGTGAGTTACTTTATTCACTGCTGCAACACAGTACTTGATAAGCTCTTGAAGTGAGGAAGGGTGTATTTTGGCATTTTGAGGATACACATCATGGTGAGGAAGTCATGGCAGCAGGAGCTGAAGGAAGGAAGCAGGAAGTCAAGAATGCGAGTGCTTGGTTTGTTTTCTCTTTCTGATCAGTTTTCTCTTTCTGATCTCAGCCCATGGAATGGTGCTACCTACACTTAAGATAGACACAGGCCCCAATTTGAATACCTGGTCCCTAGTTGGTAGAGCCGTTTGGTAGGTTTAGGAGTTGTATCCTTGCTGGAGGAAGTATGTCACTGGGGGTGGGTTTTGAGGTTTCAAAAGCTTCGTACCATTCCCAGTGCACTCTCTCTGCTTCTTGTTTATGGTTCAGAATGAAAGCCCTCAGCTTTTGATCCAGTCATTGGGCTGCTGCCTGCTGCCATGCTTCTCCATTATGACAAACTGTATGCCTCTGGAACTACAAACCAAATAAAACATTCTGTAAATTGCCTTGACCATGGTGTTTTATCACAGCAATGGAGAGCAGACTAAGACACTATCTTACTGGTGTGCCTAGAGGCTTATCTCCTAAGTGATTCTAAAGCCTGTCAGGTTGACAGTATGGATCTCCACAGGCACACTTCCTACTTAGTATCTCTCTGCTATCTACATCTTGTAGGAAGAATTGATTTTCAGCTGATCCTGGAATCAAAACTCTGGACCATGCACAACCACAGATAGGCCTGACACTATTATTGTAAGGGTTCTATAAGCTTTTGCCATGATCCCAGTGGTAAACTGCCTCTCTTCACGGTGGAATGTCAATTCATTTTTACCCACAAAGCACTGAAGTTTGCAGATCTACATTTGATGAGTAGGCAAAATTAGTGAGAACTGGCAACTCATGCTGTTTGTTTTTTTCCAGTGGGGTTGGATTCAGCTTCCTTTTCTGCTGGATATTGATGATCCTTGTGGTTCTTACTTTTGTCATTGGTGCAAATGTGGAAAAATTGCTCTGTGAGCCTTATGCAAACAAGAAATTATTACAGGTAAATACGGTTTTCTTCTTATGAGGGAGGGTTGGGCAAACGCTTGGGCCTCACTGTATTTTGAGGGTTGCATCAAACAAGAAATTATTACAGGTAAATACGGTTTTCTTCTTATGAGGGAGGGCAAACGCTTGGGCCTCACTGTATTTTGAGGTTTGCAAAGTGAAAAACTATAGGTAGTTTGTTCTCATTCAACAAGTTGAAATTCTGCTTGTAATAGCACACTGTAGGTAGTAGTCTTATCCTGGTAGATACTGAGGAGGCAAAGAATTGGATCTCATGTTTGCTTTCCCCAAAACCAACTCACAAAGACTCAAGGACTCAGACAATACTTTCACTTTCTTCATTAATATAGAGGTTTGGTTCACACGGCTGGCTTCTAGGTGGCTTCCTAGTATTTTTCTGTAGATTTTAATTTGTAGGGTGTGTGTGTGTGTGTGTGTGTGTGTGTGTGTGTGTGTGTGTGTGTGTGTGTGTGTGTGTTGTATTGTGTTTGCATGTATGGAGGCCAGAGGTCAATGTCAGATGTCTTTTTCTATTCCACTTTTTGAGACAGGGTTTCTCACCAAATCTCCAGCTCATTAGTTGGCTACACAAGCTGGCCAGTGAGCCTCTAGGATCTGCCCTCCTCTGCCGTCTGGTCCTGAGGTTCCACACCTACAGTCATTCCTTTTGTTGTTGTTGTTTGTTTGTTTGTTTTGCAGATGGGGGTGTTGAGACAGGTTTCTCTGTGGCTTTGGAGGCTGTCCTGGAACTAGCTCTTGTAGACCAGGCTGGTCTTGAACTCAGAGATCCACCTGCCTCTGCCTCCCGAGTGCTGGGACTAAAGGTTGAGCTACCACCACCCATCATCCCACAGTCATTCTTTACATGGGTGCTAGGATCTGAACTCGGGTCTTCATGCCTGCACAACAAACACTTTACCCACAGAGCCATCTTTCCAGCCTCAGAGCCTGACGTTTGGAATGCATCTCTACTTCCCTCTTTTATTGTGTGTATGTTTTCCACCTGGCACCTGTTATAAAAACAAGTGATGACTGCACATGTAACCAATTATAGCTTCAGCTATTATTAGTCAAGTGTTACTAAATTGAGAGCATCAATGGATCACATCATCTCTATTCAGTTTCCTAAGAAAACAGTGGTAGAACATTACCTTCAAGTTATGTGTATAGGAAAATAATTAAGCATAGGTGAACTTCATGTTGGTCTTGGGTTCCATCCCTTAGATGTCTCTTTATATGTGTGTGAATATTTTAAAATCAGAAAAAAAATTCTAAATCTGCAACATTTTTGGCCCTGAGAAGTCTAGAAGGGAAATGCTGCACTTGTGCGTGGACAGAACATGCCTAGCCACATGCAGATATACATCTCTTTCACTTGTGTGGGAGAGTTGAAAAGTAAGGGTTTATTTTCTCTGTTTTGTTCTTAAGACAGGGTCTCACAAGGTAGCCCTGGCTGTCATGAAACTCACAGTGATCTTCCTGTATTTGCCTCCAGAATACGGGGTTAAGTCCATGTGCCATCACACCCGACTGGAAAATGAGTTTTAGTTTACTTTGTCCTAAGAGACTGAGTCTATTGCTTTATGACTTTCTCTTAATTCCTCTAAACCTAGTAGTCTAGTTATTCTTACTCTAATATATTTAATAAGTTCAAGTTGCTCTAAAAACACAATTTCAATTGTTCTGATTGATGCAATTCAGTGCTCAACCCATTTATTAGAATTGTGCTATTGTTTTCTGACTTGGGTTTAAAATGAATAAGAAATATCACAACATAAAATATCTCAAAAGTCTAACTGTACTTTTTATTGTATGAGTTTGTGTACAACTGTCTTTAAAACAACTTTTGTGTTCCAGGTTTTGGACACTCCCTACTTGATAAAAGAAGAATGGCAATTCTTTCTCTCTGGCTTGATACTCCAGAACTCAAACATTAACCTGACATTTGAACAAGTTTACAGGTATTAATCCTTGCAGTAGACATTTTCCTCCTGAAAATTGTGTTGTTGATAAGAATCAGTGGTTTTTTGTTTAATTTAATGGTAAGGAGTTGCAATTAATTTCAGAGCCAAGCTGTTTTCTAGTCTCAGCAAATGTCATATAAAAAGACACCTCTCCCAAATGTTTCATTTTCAAGCCTTGGTGACCTAGTCTCATTGATTTCTCAGTCCTCCATCTAGGTATTCCCTAAGATTCCCCAACAAAGTTAACAATAAGATGCATTAGCAAAATCCTTTAAGAACTCAGAGAGGGGCACATATCACAGACACCACAATAGTGAGGCAGCCTGTGCATTGTGAAGTCAGATTACTTGAGATCCAATATTAAGACAGCTTTAGGGCTAGCCTGTGCAATGTGCAGTCAGATCACCTGGAACTAGTCTTATTCCTGTGGTGTCAGACAATTCAATTTCCTTCCATTTAGTATGGTGCATAACAATAGGAGTCTCAGGGCTGGAGAGATGGCTCAGCGGTTAAGAGCACTGACCACCGTTCTTCCAGAGGTCCTGAGTTCAATTCTCGGCAACCACATGGTGGCTCACAACCACCTTGAATGAGATCTGGTGCCCTCTGCTGTCATGCCGGCAGAAAACTGTATACATAATAAATAAAAAAAAACTTAAAAAAAAAAAAAACAATAGGAATTTCCCCTTGAAGTTATTATAGCTGGTAAGACGTATGTGCTTGACACACTCTAAGAACATGATAAAACAGTATTCTATGATTGTTCTTTGACATGCATTTTCAACCCCTGACATGTAAGAACATTGGTAAAACATCCTGACTTACACTGTTAACATCCCTAGGATACTAAATGATACACAGATTTCTCTAACCCTTTTACAACCTTAAATCTTCAAGCCCTTTCTTTAATTCTTTAATTACTATTCATATTTACATATCCATCCCCCCATCCCCCCATTCCCTTGCCCTCCCATCCTCCCATGTTCCCCACCAATCCCCCCAACAGGCCCTCCATGGGGGACCTTCAAAGTCTGTCAGATCATTTCAGGGAGGGTCTAGGCCCTCCTTGCTGTATCTGGGCTGCAATAGTATCCCTCCATAGGGAATGGGCTCCCAAAGTCCATTTGTGCTCTGGGGATAAAGACTGGCTCCACTGTTAAAGGTGCCATAGACGGTCTTGACCTCCTAGCTGGCACCCACATTCAGAGGGCTTGGTTTGGTCCAATGCTGTTTCCCCAGCTTTATAGTCATAAAGGGTCTCCATGCTATCAGTGGGTCAGGTCAACTGTTTCTGCGGGTTTCTCCAGCACCATCTTGGCTCCTTTGCTCATTCCTCCTCTCTTTCCACAAGTGGATTCCAATAGTATGGTTCATTCCTGCATTCCTGGGATGATGCCAACTTGATCATTGTGGATGATTTCTCTGATGTGTTTTTGGATTTGATTTGCCAGTATTTTGTTTAATTGTTTTGCATCAATGTTCATGAGGGATATTGTTCTGTAGTTTTCTTTTTTAGTTGTATCTTTATGTGGCTTGGGTATCAAAGTGATTGTAGCCTCCTAAAAAGAGTTTGGCAATGTCCCTTCTGCTTCTATTGTGTGGAATAACTTGGAGTACTGGTATTAGCTCTTGTTTGAATTTCTGGTAGTATTCTGCACTGAAACCATCTGGCCCTGGGCTTTTTTTGGCTGGTAGACTTTTGATGACTACTTCTATTTCATTAGAGGCTATATGTCTGTTTAAACTGCTTATCTGTTCTTAATTTTGGTAAGTGATATCTATTCAGAAAATTGTCCATTTCCTTCAAATTTTCAAATTTTGTGGAATACAGGTTTTCAAAGTATGACCTGATGATTCTCTGGATTTCCTCAATGTCCATTGTTATGTCCCCCTTTTCATTTCTGATTTTGTTAATTAGCATGATCTCTCTGCCTTTTGGTTAGTTTGGATAAAGGTTTGTCTATCTTGTTGACTTTCTCGAAGAACCAACTTTGTTTCATTGAGTCTTTGTAATGTTTTCCTAGTTTCTACTTTATTGATTTCATCCCTCAGTTTGATTATTTCCTGTCATCTACTCCTCCAGGGGGAGATGCTTCTATTTATTCTAGAGCTTTTAGTTGCGCTGTTAATTCGCTAATGTGTCTATTCTCCAGTTTCTTCATGTGGGCACTTAGTGCTATGAACTTTCCTCTTGGCACTGCTTTCAAAGTGTCCCATAGGTTTGGGTATGTTGTGTCTTAATTCTCATTAAATTCTAGGAAATCTTTAATTTCTTTTTTTTTTTCATTTCTTCCTTGACCCTGGAATGGTGCAATTGCGAATTATTCAATTTCCATGAGTTTGTAGGGTTTCTACAATTTGTGTTGTTGAATTCTAACTTTAAAACATGGCAGTCTGATAAGATACAGGAAATTATTCCAATTTTTTGTATGTGTAGGTTTGCTACATTGCCCAGTATGCGGTCAATTTTAGAGAAGGTTCCATGTGGTGCTGAAAAGAAGGTATATTCTTTTGTGTTTAGATGGAATGTTTCATAAATGTCTGTTAATCCCAATTGGGTCATAACTTCCGTTAGTTCTTTTCTTTCTTTGTTAAGTTTCTGTCTGGTGGTCCTATCTAGTGGTGAGAGCGGGGTGTTGAAGTCTCCTACTATAAGTGTGTGAGGTTTTATGTGTGATTTGAGCTTTAGTAATGTTTCTTTTATGAATGTGGGTGCCTTTGTATTTGGGGCATAGATTTTCAGGATTGAGACTTCATCTTGAAGGACTTTTCCTGTGATGAGTATGAAGTACCCTTCTTCATCTCTTTTGATTGATTTTAGTTTGAAGTCTAATTTGTTAGGTATTAGGATTGCTACACCAGCTTGTTACTTGGGTCCATTTGATTAGAAAATCTTTTCCCAACCCTTTACTCTGAGGTACTATCTGTCTTTGAAGTTGAGATGTGTTTCTTGTATGCAGCAGAAGGATGGATTCTGTCTTCCCATCCATTCTGCTAGCCTGTATCTTTTTATAGGCAAGTTAAGACCATTGACATTGAGGGATATTAATGACCATTGATTGTTGATTCTTGTTTGTTTTGGATTTGTTGGTGGTGGTATTATTATGTGTGGATTTCCCCCTTTTTTATTTTGGTGTTTGGTAAAGTGGGATTATCTACTGCCTATGGTTTTTTGAGAAGTAGTTATCTTTGTTGGGTTGGAGTTTTCCTTCTAGTAATTTCTGTGGGGCTGGATTTGTGGATATGTATTGTTTAAATCTGGTTTTGTCATGGAATATCTTGTTTTCTCCATCTATAGTGTTTGAAAGCTTTGCTGGATACAGTAGTCTGGGCTGCCATCCATGTTCCCTTAGCGTTTGTAGAACTTCTATCCATGATCTTCTGGCTTTCAAAGTTTCCATTGAGAAGTCGGGTGTAATTCGGATAGTTCTGACTTTATGTTACTTGGCCTTTTTCTTTTGCTGTTCTTAATATTTTTTCTTTATTCTGTAAGTTTGGTGTTTCGATTATTATGTGGCGAGGGGACTTCTTTTTGTGGTACAATCTAGTTGGTGCTCTGTAAGTTTCTTGTACTTTCATAGGCATATCCTTCTTTAAGTTGGGGAAGTTTTCTTCTATTATTTTGTTGAATATGTTTTCTGTACCTTTGATCTGAATTTCTTCACCTTCTTCTATACCTATTATTCTTAAATTTGGTCTTTTCCCATATTTCCTGGATGTTTTATGTTAGGGACTTGTTGGACTTGAGATTTTCTTTGGTAGATGACTATACATCCTCTAGTGAGTCTTTATCACCTGAGATTCTCTCTTCCATCTCTTGGATTCTATTGGTTATACTTACATCAGTGGTTCCCGAACATTTACCCAGCATTTCTATTTCCAGCACCCCCTCATTCAGTGTTTTCTTCATTGTTTCTAATTCTGCTTTCAAACTGTGGATTGTTTGAATTGTTTCCTTCACTTGTTTGGCTGATTTTTCTTGTCTTTCTTTAGATTCCTAAAAAGATTTATTTATTTCTTGAATTTTTTGGTTTCTCTTTTCTTCCATTTCATGTAATTTTTGCTTGGTTTTTCTTCTATTTCTTTAAGGGATTTTCTTGTTTCCTATTTAATGGTCTTATCATCTTCATAAGATAATTTTTAAGGTCCATCTCTTCTTTGTCCTCTGCATTGGGCTTCTCAGTTCTTGTTGGTGTGGAGTCCCTAGATTCTGGTGGTGTCATATTGGTCTTTCTGTTGTTGAATGTATTCTTATTCTGTCGTCTTCCCATCCCTTCTTCCAGTGGGTGCAGGTGACGTTTCCCCCTCTCTTTTAGTCTCCTCAAGCAAAGGGCAGAGGGCGGAGGGGGGACCAAGAGTGAAGTGTGTCCAGACTCCTGGTGGTCTAGGCAGGTCCACTCCTGTTGAGGGGCAGGCTCAGGAAGAAGGAGGGGGGTGATGGGGGAAGTTGGGGGCAGAGCAGCTCCCAGACTCACCTCAAGCAACAGGCAGAAGGCAGAGAGTGGAGCAGGGACAAGGATGATGTGTGTCCAGACTCAGGATGGGCTCCCCCTGGCTGGGCAGGTCTACTCTTGTTGAGGAAAAGGCAAGAAGGAGGAGGAAGGGTTTAAGGGGGGGAGTTGGAGCCAGAGGAGAGACCAGACTCACCTCAGGCAGCAGGCGGCGGCAGGCGGCAGGCAGAGCCAAGTCCTTTCTTGAGTATAATGAACCCCTCATTTTTAAAAACTTTTCTTTCATTTGCCTTCTCCTTGGTAGTGAGTTGGCTGAGGAAACATCCAAGCTGTCAGCATCTTTTCCCTTCTTCCTTACAATGTTCCCTCTTGTATGGAAGACCTGGTCACATTCATGATCCCCTTTGGATCTTTCCACCTTCTTCAGTAAATGTCTTCTGATGTTCAACAGTCACACAGGCACAGGCATGAAAGTACCTGGTGACTTCTGGAGGTCTTGCTTCAGTACTTCAAATTCTGGGTCACCTGACAAGACGCATAAAAGGGCCTGATCTCATTCCTGAGGGCTCTCTGTTGTTTAATAGCATTCAAAGAAAAATTATTTTCTTTGCCTTCAGTTCATCTTTTAGAGTAAGTTTCTAAATAGTGTGTGATATTCCCTTCCTTCTAACCCTGAAGTAACTGACACTGTAATCATTTCCCATCATGACCTTTGCCAGGTAGAGAAATAGTCTTACTAGCCTGATGGGTAACTAACCTTTCTCCTCGTCCTTCGTGAAGGTGAGAGATTTCCATGTGCTAATCTGGCCATGTTTCTCTGCTCCTTCTCATAGGGATTGCAAAGGAGGTCGGGGTGTATATGCTACCTTTCATCTTGATAATGTTTTCAACATCAGTGAGAATTTCAACATTGAGAAGGTGAGTTGTTAGAACCAGTCATAAACTTGACCTTGTTTACTACTAGACACAAGTGCATTCCTTCCTTTTGGTTCAGACTGATATGAAGTCCATAAAAGATAAAATGTATCTGTCTAATGAAAGTGCTTCACATTGGAAAGCTGTTGAGCCATCATGCCCCCCTTAGTTCCTCTAATGGCCTTCCTTAATACCAAATGAGCAAGATGTGGGCTAAGACTTTCTCCCTTGTTCCTGCTTAGGATCTACTCATTCTGCAAGCTGTTTGCAACCTTCACTTTTATCTGTTAATCTCAAAACACCTTCTCACCCCACAACCAATTGTCTTTCTCTTTTCACACTTTGAATTTTTCCAATAGACTATGCAAGAACCTCCAAAAAGGTCTCCCATAAAAAACTTCTCAGGGAAACCATTAATTTCATCTAGTGAACATGCTCTACAAGAACAAGCCTACTCACTTCCCAGGGATGTTGATCCTTCAAGACCAATTTCTCTATTCTGTCAGGTCCCAGTCTTGGGAATCAGGCATAAAGAACTATTGTAGCCCTGTCCTCATTCCTTACAACTTAAGCACTGCCACCCCAGAACTCCTGAATGGGTTATGTGAACCCTACCTACCTGTGGCAAGAAGCAGAAAGGATAGAATCAAAAGTAGAAGAATGCCCATCTTAGCTGTGGTCCAACCCATACCCTTGTCATGTCTTGAGATGACAAGGAAAGACCATCCGAGAGCACACAGAACAGAAGAAAGAGCAATATTTTCTGTGCCAGGTCTAGAGAGCGATTAGCTTATATGCCCTCAGTCTCCCTGCTAGGAGGCCTTCTTTGGCCTTCTTAGCTTCCATAATGAGGAGACTGATCTCAAACAAGACCTAGGGAGAAGGTCCTGGGCCACATCTTGCTCACTTTGCCATCATGGAAGGTAATTAGAGAAAACAAGGGAAACATGATGACTCTACAGCTTTCCAATGTGAAGATCTTTTGTTTGAAAGGTTTACATGAATTTTGTATCTAGCATGTTCCCTAAATATTCCCATAAACAAAACATCATCTTATAACCAAGTCCTAAGCAGATTTCTTGTACTCCTTTGTCCATCATACTATGGTGCCCCAGCACTGTGTTATGTAACAGTTTGAAATGATAGACAGGCACTGTATGATGATGGAAACTAATTATTGGCTGTTAGGACAACCCAATATCAGCAACCACATTCCCAGGATCATTGTCTCCCAGAAGATATCTCCCATGCTTTTCCTACTACACTCGTACTTGCTGGTCCCCTCCCTGGAAAGCCAGCCTACTCTCCTCTTAGCCTCATTTGTCAAGAGTAGATGCTTAGACATCATTTCTTCTCTACAGTCCACTTCTGCTGAATCCCCTCGGTCTGGTCTTCCGATGGAGTTCATGAGACCCTCTCTTACAACTCAGCCTCTTCCCTCCGAGGTCTTCACCATTGGAGATGCAATCTTACTTCACTTTAAATTCCACCTCCAGAGAGAATACTTTTGGAGGCAGAGAGGGAAGTAATTAAAATAAAAATATGTGCATCTCTTTCAATCCAGTGTAGTCTCATTCCTCTTGACATTGAGTGTGTGGCCTTCTTGGAAGATAAAAGTATGCTTTTGTTTCACACAGTATACCAAAAAAATGATGAATGAGTTGAAAAACCTGAATGTGAATATTGATGGCATTGAACTGTTGGACAAAACAGGAAGGAAAAGCCTGCATGACTTTGCACATTCTGGGATAGATGCAATCAATTATTCCATGTACTTGAAGGAGGTATGAGCAAGATACACATGTATGGTCTTTGGGGAGAAATTAGAGTATTGTGCTTTTGTTTATCATAACACTGGATTCCCATAGCATAAAGGTCGGTGTTTTAAAGGTCAGCAATTTAATGGTATTTAGTATATTTATAGTTAGCACTTCCAGTCCCAGCATGTTTTCATCACCCACAGGAAACACTCTACCATAAGCTATTGTTTCCCAGTCCCGAATTCCTGGCAGCCACCCAGCTATGCTATATTCTGTATAATTCATATAAGTAGCAACATACACTTTGTGAGTTTCATTTCTAGATTCTTCCACTGAGCATGTTTTTAAAATCTATAAATGTTATAGTACGTATTAGTAGCATATTTTATGGGTGAGTAAAAATAATACATATAAATATAAATGCTAATGTTGTAACCTGTGTAGGAGTTTCTAGCCTTATTTTGTTGCTTGATGGCTGTGGCACCATGCTCAACATGCTGCTTTTTGATGGTGTTCTTATTTCAAAAGCCCATGTCTGTAACATGTTTTTTTTTTTTTTTTCATTCCCTTTTTGGTAGACTGAGAAATCTCCTACCAAAGTGGATCTGCTGGCATTTGCCTCTTCTCTGGAAGCAAAGGCAAACCAGTTGGTAAGTTCAATAGTCTTGTTCAATTCTATCATAGTTGAAAAGGCAAATATTGACATCATTGTTTAGGAAGCCACAAAGAGGTCCTTGTCGCCATTGCTTGATCTTGTCTCACAGCACTTCACTAATGCATTAGAGGCCCCATTGGCAGCTGTCCCTTTGTGGTTCAGAAGGCTAAATAAACAGCTTTACCTCTGCATTGGCTTTCACAAATCAACACCTCCACTTCAAATGCATGCACACATGCATGCATGCACACACACATACATATACACAGATATACATACGATCCTACACAAGAGAGAGATGCACACGTGGGGACACACAGACATATACACATGTGAATACACAAATGAATACACAGCATGCAGACAAACATACACATGCAGACATACACATATACGTGTACACAGATACAGACACATGTGTGCACTCATACACACAGGCATGCACACATACATTTGCACACACACATTTTCCTTACAGTCTGAAGGAGTATTAACTGAGTTGTGCCTTTCATCGTCAGCAGTAGGCATATAAGACTGAGCAGAGGCACCATCATAGCCCATAGACTTGCCCACCATCGGCTCTTCTGCACAGCCGGAATGGTCTCATCTAAGAAATAGCAAACTGTGGTGACAAGGAAACTGGGCTCCAGAGAAGATCCAGGTTTAAGTCCTGATTCAGTCTCTTCCTAATGTTAGTAGCCTAAGCCGGGTATTTCATGCACCTGTGCCTTATTTTCCCCATCTATAAAAATGGAGGCAGTAATTATATCTGACTTACATGATTGTTATAGTCCATATAGTAACCATCATTTAAGTGTGAATTAACTTGAACAATCTTCAGTTGAGCCTTTGTTTTTCTCAACTGTAAAACAAGGAAATTGACTAGCTATATCATTTGGGGGCAGAGTAAAAGGAACCACAGCATCTGGTGTTTAGGAAGTGCTTTTGAGTGTGAGGTGTTGACGAGCCTATGGCTCTGTAGTTTGAAGCACTTTGTCTAGAGGCTGTGTGCAAGCCAGCCCAATGCCTACCCATGTCATAATTGTCTAAGAGGGGACCCTGTGGTCATGTATCATCTTCTGGTGTCCTTTATGGTTAAAGAGTATTTTTGTGGTCCAGAAGGATGGTATTGATCCTTTTGTCTTCTTTTCCTTGTAGCCTGATGGAAAGTTGAAACAGGCCTTGAACACAGATGCACAGGAAATTAGAATCATTCACCAGCAGCAAGTCCTTCCTTTGCAGCAATCACTGGTAACTGTCAACAACCTGTGGCATTTCATGGTGGCCTGAGCAAAATCTAGCCATCTAGTTATCTAGTTAACTTGCAGATAGCCCAAAGACACACATTTGTCTAATGGAGGGCGTAACCTCTCAGCCTCAGCCTCAGCCTCAGCCTCAGATATGGAGTTGGGCTTTAAAAACCACAACCTTTTGCCTTCCTTCACTGTGCTCCCCTCTGTTCCTTCCATAAAAGTGTGAGCAGTGAGGTGCGCACCACACCTGTCTCCAGCACCTTGCTATAGCTTGCACTTCTGCTAAGGGGCCTCCCAGGCAGTGTGATTGTGCTCTGGGGCCATGTTAACATATTCTCTAATTCTTTTTCTCCACACTCTGCTTAGAAATATGTGAAGGTGAGGGTGAATACCTCTATTTCCTTCAGCTCTGTTGGCTCCCTCCATGTCTGTTGCTCTCTTTCTCCTCTTTTCTACCCCCCATTTTCTGTTCCTTGCTTTTAATGTAACAGGGGTAGTTTGTAGTTTGGAATCACACAGATCTGGTTTCAAATCCCTCTTTGTCCCTCTAAAACATAGTGACTTACCAGTGTCCTCATCAAACAATAAAGTTTCAAATAATAGAAGCAAAGAGAATGGTGGGACATTGGGGTTGTCTATCACTTGGTCCATAGAAATGGATGACTTCTGAACTTGGAGAATCAGAAACCAGGGGAAACAATGTTATGCTCGCTCCTGGGCCTGTTTGTGGCTGTAAAAGGGAGAACTGTGTGGAAAGTGGGTCCCTATTCAGCGGCTCAGGTTTGAAGATATACTAAAGTCCATCCTCTCCAACATAGAAACTTCTGAATCTAGTTTTCATTCTGGTTGTCTCTCTGTATGCTCCTTCTTACTTTCTGGTTTGCTAGAGTTCCACAGGGTTCTCCCATTGGATTCATATACGTTGTGTACTGACTTCTTACAATTCTCTGTCTTTATGCACCACCTAGAACAAGCTTGTTGACATAGTAAGCACACTTATTGCTGTTGTTTGCATTTTCCATCTATGCTTTTCTTCAAGTAGACAGCACACCCTTGTCTCTTCTGACCTAGAACAGCCTGGCCACAGATCTATCATATAAACAAGGGGCTGGAAAACTGGCCCTTATCAACCACAGCCTGACCTGATCCAGCCTGTTGCCAGTTAAAAAAAAAAGTGGGACACAGCCATTACAGCTTATTAGAAAACTATGGCCCCTCTTAGCCATAAGAATAGAATATGGTGCCAGGAGATGGTGTCACATACCTTTAATCTTAGCACTCTAAAGGCAGAGGCAGTTGAATTCTCTGTGAGTTCCAGGGCATCCCAGGCTGTACAGAGAAACCGCGTCTCAAAGAACAAAACAAAATACAAAAAAAGAGAGAGAAGAATAGAATATGGCCCCTAAAACATGAACTAGTGTGGCCTTTTACAGATAAAGTTTGCAACCTTAAGCTAAACCATTCATGTAAACCACACTTGATAGGCAGGCTCTGTTTTAATAATGCTTTTTCCACTGACTAAACCCATTTTGAAGGCGTTCTTGTATGCTGTGTGTGTGATGTGCTGCCCTTAGAGTCTTTGAATAGGATACTGCTTTTCTTTTATGGGTTTTCTTATCCACCAATGGGGTATAAGATCCATATTGTTGCTCATGTCTGTTGTACTTTTTAGAATGCCGCCAATTCACTGTGTGGTCAGATTTGATGTTTGTGTTGGGAGAGGTGCTGAGATAAGGCCTGTGTTCTTGATGCTTTGGATACAAATTTTGATTTTTTTTTCTTTTCCCCACCAGAATACTTTAAAAGAAAGTGTCCGGACTCTTAAGCACACAAGCGAGAAGTTGCCGGTAAGGGTTTTGATTTTCTTTTCATGAGATTTTGTTATTAAACATCATACCTACAATTCCAGAGGAATTGTTTTTCATAAGTAGTTTAAGATAAAAGGAGTTGTTCAGAGTATTTTCGGGGGACACACTTGGTTTTCCCTTCTCCCGAGTGCTTCTCTTGATGCAATTTTCAAGTCTGGGTCTTGCTGTGTAGGAGGTGAGCTTCAGCATAAATGCTTTCGTAAAGATGGTGCTGTGTATCACTGGTAGTCTCATCACTGTTAACCACGCATGCTCACCATCACTGTTAGGCAGGTCACGGGCTTTTCTGTTGCCCACTCTTTAAAAGACCCAGCCTGGAAGAGCAGACTCTTGTTGAAGCTGCAGGGGAGCGTGGCAGTAGGCAGGCATGCATGTTGGAGCAGTGGATTAGAGCTTACATCTGATCCACAGGTATGCATAGGAAGAAGAAGGAAGGGAGGGAGGGAGGACACAGAGAGAGAGAGAGCACTAACTGAGTATGGGCATGGGCTTTGAAATCTCCCACCACCAGTGACACATTTCTTCCAACAAGTCCCCACCTCCTAATCCTTGCAAACTGTTCCATCAGCTAGAGATCATGTTTTCAAATATATGAACCTATGGAGGCCATTCTCATTTACTCCACTGTGAGGTGATACCCCAGACAGATTTACTGTTTGTGACTTTGAGGGGGCATCATCTCAGTTATCAAACAATAACAGAATGACAAATGCTTAGGACATAAGCAAGAGCACAGGTTGCCCTAAAGCCAATGCTCAGAATACAGCCACTTGTCTTACATTCTGTCAGTTGAAATAAGCCACTTATTTCAACAACCATTGTTATCATCATGAGGTAGAGAAGTACAGTTCTGCCTCAGTGTGTGTGTGGTGGGGGATGGCTTCCAAGACACCCCATCAATACTCAAGTTCCTTACATCAGTTGCACAGTATGTGTGCCTAACGTAGATATACCTTCTGGTGTACCAAAACCATTTCTAGATTATTTACAACACTTAATGCAATAGAAACATGATTCAACTAGCTGTTGTCCTGTTTTATTTAGGGGCTAATGATCAGAAAAATCTTTACACATTCAGTAAACCTCTCCCTTCCTTACCACAAAAGGTTACTTGAGCCAGGTGATGGTGGCACATGCCTTTAATTACACCACTTCAGAGGCAGAGGTAGGCAGATCTCAGAGTTCAAGACCAGCCTGGTTTACAGAGCAAGTTCCAGGATAACTAAGGCTACACAGAGAAACCCTGTCTCAAAAAAACCAAAACAACAAAACAGGCTAATTGAATCCCAGATTCAAAACTCCTAGATTAAAGGGCTGACCATATACCATCCTAATAACCCTGGCAAGCTATGCCAGGAAAGGCACCAGTTACCTTGAAAGGTTCATCACTCCACCACAAGACGTGCTCTGGAACAGCAACAGAGCCCCGAGGCTGTGCTGTGTTCATCTTGTACACACAACTGCAGCAGATTCATAAGAAAGAAGAATCTTTGTTGAACTGGAAGGACTGCTCATATGAGCTTTGGGGTGTAAGCCCACAATTTAAAAAGGGAGCCAAATATTGTGACACAGTCCCTGTGAATATCTGCTCTGCTCCAGGGCCATGCCTGTGTCCCTGATCCCAGTGCCATGTCATGCATGTGTGTCCCATGCTAAGGGAATCTGGAGACTACTGTTGAGCTCATGATCTTTTCTGGCTCCGTCTGCACATCCAGGATGAGACCTGCATGCTAATGTTGCCCCCATTGGGGCCCAGCCTAGGATATGAGAAGTAGACAGAACTGTTTTCTGATACACCTGCCCAGCCTCGTTCCCCCAGACCTCTGTGCAAAAGGAACCTTTTCTCCATTTGTAACAAGCTATTACTTGGGTTTTCAGTGACTGGGTCTTGGTGCAACAAGTTTCGGCTTTAGATATTTTTAGAAGGAAAAAACTAGCTAGCTTGGCCACCTCGAAGGAAGTCAGTTGTCTCCTCCGCAGGGAGCTCAACAGTGTCCTCCTTTCAGCCATGTGAATTCGAAAGCAGCCAATGATTCCCATCAAGAACGTTCATCTCCTCCTCCCGTCCTCAGAGGGCTGAGTCAGGTCTTGATGTTATAGGCCATAGTCACCAGACAGCTGTCCATCAACGAGAGTTCCGTGTCTGTGGATGTGTTCAAACAGTTATATATTGAGTAGAAGGCCTCAGGATTCAGCTCGGTAGTAAAATACTTGTCTAGAAAACACAGGCCAAGGGCTCCATACCCATACCCATACCAATAAAGAAAAGGAAGGAAGAAAATATTTGGGGAGGCAGTAGTTTTTTTTTCTTCCTCCATTTTTTAATTTAAATTAGAAACAAGATGTCAATCCCAGTTCCTTCTCCCTTCCCTCCTCCCCTGCCCCCCACTAATACCCTACCTATCCCATACCATTTCTGCTCCCCAGGGAGAGTGAGGCCTTCCATGGGAGATCTTCAGAGTCTGTCATATCCTTTGGGATAGGGCCTAGGCCCTCCCCCATGTATCTAGGCTGAGGGAGTATCCCTCTATGTGAAATGGGCTCTCAAAGGCCATTCTTATGCTAGGGATAAGTACTGATCTACTACAAGAGGCCCCATAGATTTCTGAGGCCTCCTCACTGACACCCACATTCATGGGTCTGGATCAGTTCCATGCTGGTTTCCCAGCTATACGTCTGGGGACCAAGAGCTCCCACTTGTTGAGGTCAGCTGTATCTGTGGGTTTCACCAGCCTGGTCTTGTCCCCTTTGATCATCACTCCTCCTTCTCTGCAACTGGATTGCAGTTCATTTCAGTGTTTAGCTGTGGGGGTCTGCTTCTACTTCCACCAGCTGCTGGATGAAGGCTATAGGATGGCATATAAGTTAGTCATCAATCTCGTTATCAGGGGAGGGTATTTAAGGTAAGGAGGCAGGAATTTTTAATGTCTATAACAAACATCTAAAGAACCTTGGTTTTGTTATTATTAATACAGAGAGTTTTGTATGTTAGCTACTGACATAGCAGGGCATTGTACTAGATACCAATGTACCCAAGCAGATGGGTTATATGACAGTACCACTCCATTTTACAGAGGGGCATCCAGGGCCTGAAGATTCTGAGCAAAGGGAACGGGGATCCTGGAATCAGCCTCCCTAGGACTCTAACTGATTTGCAAATTGTCTAATTAAGTCCATGGTTCCCCTTCCAATTATTGTGTTTTCCAGGAGAAAGTGAACAAGATCATTGAATCTTTGGATTCTGCTCAGAATTTCCTCACCAATAACATTTCTTCCATCATTATTGAAGTAAGTTTTATCTTCTTAAGCAAGGATGTAGATGAAGTGCTGTGTGAGTATTCCAGGATGAAGTAACTATACCCATTAAGTATGTTCTAGTTATTTTAATAATAGCCTCAATCTTTGATTTCTTTCTAGGAAACAACGAAGTTTGGAGGAACAATAGTAGGCTACTTTGAACATTACCTGAATTGGGTCTTGTACGCCGTAAGTAGCTTTGTCTTTTATGAACGTAAAGGGTGCCACCTCTCACAAGAGTCATTTTCTAGTATAAAATCTGGAGGATATTAGAATCCTGTGATTTTAGTTGGAGATAAATGAAAGTGTCTGTCTGGACCTGATGTTCCAGCTCTTCCACGTCTTGTATGAGGAACTAAGGAAGCGATCAGCAAAATAGCTAGGATTTTATTTAAAGGTACAGTGCAAGTACAAAACAGATGCTGCAAGGAAGCAGCAGGCCATCTGAGGTAGGCTGCACAAGATGAGCTGGTTAAGGCTTCCTTGTATGGAGTCCAGAAGGCAGAGTTAGTTGCTAGGGGTAGTGAGGGGGTGGTTTTTGTTTTAACTGAAGGCTTAAGGTCTTCATTCACTTCACTTGTCCTTTCCCATGGTGTGTCTGACTTTAATCATAAATATGCCCAAGTATGCATAGGTGTAAGAAGTAGGGGTTTTCCCTAGATGTTCACTCAGAGGACACAGTTTGTTGTATTGTGAATACACCCCAAATCAGCATTTCTCCAGCACTCCTTCAAGTCCCGGGGTATGTTCCAGGATATTTTTGAATGAACACGGAGTTTACAGAAAGGTTGTTTTGGTCAAGTGACACACTGCTGTTTGGGGTGGGGTGTGTGTACAGCTCAGTTTGGTGCAGTGGGGGGTCTCGGTGGCTAGGTGCATGGTTAGTGGCTAAGTGTATAACTCAGGCCAAGTGGAGTACTATATTGCCAAGATTTCTTTATACATGCCTGCTTCAAGAGGATTTGGATAAGGGGAGACAGGACCTATATGGGGCAGCCTTCCCATGAGGGAGAACACCCCTCCCCAGTCCCCTCACCTCTTGGCTCACCTTTGCAATATGGCTTCTTTCATTTGGTGCCTAATCCTTTGCCAGATAACAGAACAGTGCAGCACTAGGCTGGGCACATCTCCATTCCCCAAGCAGTTCTGCAGGATGGGTCTCCATATTCCAGGCAACAAAGAAGCGAACCGCAGCTCATGGGGACTAAGTGTCTCCCTATAAATGTGTGGATTTGTACTAGCTGTAGAACTCCTCAGTGCTCTTCAGCTCTCAGCTTCATGGCTTCTGGGACACTCTTGTGATGCACACCTCTGGATGCTCTTGTCAATACAGCCAGGGGGCACATCTTTAGGCATGAAGTTTTGTGAGACTGGCTCAGTGAATGTTTGCCTGTGTTTTCCATCCCACAGATCACAGAGAAGATGACATCCTGCAAACCCTTGGTCACCGCAATGGACTCTGCTGTTAATGGTGTTCTGTGTGGCTATGGTGCTGACCCTCTGGTAAGAATTTCATATGTCACAAAGAGATATATTAAGTAATTGTGTTCTCTCCCCCACCCCCATATTCTGTTATTAGAAGTGGTCTACATTTTCAACCTTGTTCAGAGAGTTTTACAGCTTTATGACAACACTATTCCTTTTCTGAAGATAGAGGCCAGAGAGGTGCCACTGTTACCGCCCTTTGTCCCTTACCCATCACTCTGACCACCTTCCTTATCTTTTATTTATTTATGGTTTGCTTTTTTGAGACAGGGTTTCTCTGTGTAGCTTTGGAGTCTGTCCTGGAACTCACTTTGTAGATAAGGCTGGCCTCAAACTCACAGAAATCCACCTGCCTCTGCCTTTGCCTCTGCCTCTGCCTCTGCCTCTCTCTGCCTCTCTCTGCCTCTGCCTCTCTCTGCCTC